AAGGATTCCCAAGGTGAGTCAGTCAACGACTTTGTAACATGGAGTCTACACAACTACCTGTGGTCCATCAGCTTCTGCGAGTTCCAGCTCAGGTGACCTATGAAAGCCTTTTGGAGAGTCCAAGAACCTGCCACAGCGAGATGGGTAGCCACTGCTTCCACGAGATCAACCACCCCAAGCGATCGCGACTGCTGCGCAGCACGCGCTGGGGAAAAGGGACCACCGCAGCGCGCAATGGCCACGTGTGGCCAACTGGGCCGATGAATGGACTGATCGATGATCGATGATCAGCTAGGGAGTGAGGCACTGAGGGTGAATCAGATCCAGTGTGATTCAGGTGGTCAAATCAATTGGGTCCAAGGGAAGCCCTCGGTGACGCTGGTTGCCCACCAAAAATGAGGTACCTTACCTGTGGTACCTGTGGTCGGACGTGTGTGGGGACAAAAGACCTTGGTGGGTTTTGACCTATACTCATTTAAGAGCCTTCGCCTGATTCTCAGAATTTGAGGGGAGTCCGTTTGTTGAGCCATGTGTGGCAACTGAAGAAAGGACTGGCACCGGTCTGGAGGCTTTTGGCCTCAAGTGATGTGCCTTTAAGACTTCCGCCTCCGCCTCCGCCTCTGCCAGGCAGCGTGGCGCTGAAGCGCGTGCTCGCGGAAGCGCGCGTCGTGCCCCGGACAAGCCGAGATCGGTGAGGGTGGACACGGAGCGATCCGGAACCCTTCAATGGGAGAGAGCGGAGACCTGGGAGGGACGAGGCAAGATTTGGGGGTCAACTTCTTTTGTGACACTTCAGTGTCGATGTGGCCAAAAAAAGCATGTGAAATGATGCATTTTAGACCATGAAGGTGGTGAAGCACCAGTGGGGGTGTGGAAGTGTTGCCGTTAGAGGGAGAGAGAGAGTGTCTCAATTTGGTGTTCCACTCCTCTGGCCTTCTTGTAGACGGGCGTGTCTATGACAAAAACATGTGAAGGATTCCCAAGCAGAGCTTTCTGTCCACTGCCTTTACCAGGTGTTTCCCTATGTTGTGTTGACAAAGGAACAAACAAGAAAGCGTTGCTTCAGAAAGCATCGAGGTGGAAAAAGGTGGTCCAAGCAGTCCGATGACCAAAAAGATGGAATCATCTCCCAGTTCAGAAGGATGTCAGGAGAAGGTTCTTCCTTTAAGCCGTCCATGTTTGCTTCGACACCACAGGTGTCCAACACACAGATCTCCCTGGAACGCACGTGTCCGGAAAAGTTGTTTAAAGAAATGAAGTCTTGGCCCCAAACTCCTTGGGCTGCATTCAGCTTACTAGTAACAAGAAGCTACTAGGGCTTCCTGGCATCACTACTAGGAACAGAAAGCGAACGAACAAAACAAGTGCATCGCTCCGTTCGTTGTCGTCCTTGCTACGTTCCTTGTAAATGCCCTTGTTACGACCGGTTCGCGATGGCACGGTCCGAGGACCGCGCACGACATCCGAAAGGGCGACGGCAGGAGCGATACAAGGCGAAAGGAGTTGACGGGAGGTTGGGAGAAACACCAAGGTGGTGGAGTTGGGTATTGGGTTCACCGGCAACCTCTAACCAAAAGACCTACTGGTTTTTGTATGATTATACCATGAAACGTTCAGCTTTGGATGCACTCGTTCTTTGTGGAGATGGTTGGGAGATCTTGGTGGTGAATCCCCGGTGAAATTGAATCATCAAGGTCGCTTGGATGGATTGTCCCAGTCAGGATTTCCCGCAGCCCACCAACAAGTCGCAGGTTTGCACCTTTTCAACAAGGGGATGAAAAAGCTTTCAAAGAAAGAACAAAGACATAGCATCAAATGTTGAAAACCATCAACTCTTTGAGCCGCTATCCTGCAAGTTGTTTACAGAAGTCCAAAAGCTGAATGGCGGTGTCTGAAAAACGGTTTGGGTCTTCGTCCACCCACCGAGACGGCGCCGGTGTCCACCGGTCGAAAAGGCCCTGCGTGCACAGCTGAAGGCCCTGTTGGGGGGGGGGGCGAAGCGGTGAAGGAGGACCATCTCGGTGTGCAGTTGAGACCTCAGATTTGGGAGCATTGGAGCATTGATTTTGTTCATGCTGGTGTAGTCAAGATGAGATGGACCTAGCAAAATGCATCGAAATAGACATAAGGAGACCTAGCCATAGCTGACCCAATGATTGGGTAAGTCCATGATTGAAGCTGATCAACTTCTGTGAGGGGGTCGTCCAGTAGCTGGATCTTCCCAAGCAACAGTCCACAAGGCGTCAAGGGTGACCCTGAAGAACATCTAAATCAGACCAGACCTCACGTTATCTACCGTACCCCGGTAAGGATCTGTTTCATCAGGCTCCAAGTGAACCCTCACTATGGATGAGCCTAGTGATCAAAGAAAAACAACCAAGCCACCAACGGTCCACCCGACCACCCAACCACATGCTAGTAGCTTCCTGTTACTAGTATAGTAAGAATGCTCCTAGTCGTAAGGCCAGGAGCGCCGTTCGTAGCGTCCTTGCTCCTAGTAGGCTGCAGTCCTTCTTTTGGATCTTCCCTTCCACGGTCCACCAACCCACTGGTCCAGGTCCGCTCCATGCGCTCCGCCGAACCACCGTTTCGGCAGGTCGCCGTGGCCCTGCAGAACTTCCAGAGGCGGATCCACCGGGGAGGTCGCCGCAGAGAGGGGAGGAGGATCTGGTAGGGGAGATCGCACTGGGAAGACACGACTAGTCTACTGGTGATTTTCCAACAACCATTGATTGTTCCAATGCTTTGAATCCTAAAGAACCGAGCTGTTTTACTAAGGATTTTAGACTACAAAACCAAGTCAACCATTCTTTAAGTGGTCTTTGAAGGCTAGGGGTATGTTGGTATTCTTCTGTATCCAAAGTCTTTCTAGGGTATGATTGTCGCTGCGAAGTTTGTTAGACCCCTCAGCCATAGGCGCGAGGGGCGATGACGTGGGCAAACACAAAAGTAGGGGAATGAATACATATGGCATATGAATTCAATATATGTTTCTATTTGGTTGTTTATGCTTTCTGTTCTGTCGAACTCTTGCCATATACTAGCTCATGGTTGCAACATCGAGTGTCGAAAGGAGAAAGGACCAATCCCTTCTTTGGGTGTCGCTGTTGTTCCGAAGCCGCAGATCAAGTGACAACTATGGTGCTCCAAACCACCCGGAACTCCACGGTCGATTGACTCACAATGCCCACCTGTGCACGAGAGTTTGGAGGGGATCCAAAACCCAAGCAAACCACCAAACCTGGCACTCCCAAAGTGAAGGGTTCCCCTCACATGCCGTTGAGATAAATTGTCTCTCTCTGCTTCTTTATCCTGCCCGGCGTGCCATATGGGTGTGCTTTGCCATAAGGTGGTTGAACTCTAGTGGAAGTGACCTAATCTGGGCACAGCGGGAGCTCCATCCATCGCAGGCTGCTGAACCGGATTCGGCCAGAAGTGTCTGGATGCCCAGAGCAAGAGATGAGACCATCCGAAGTGCCGTACTAGGCCCGGACCGGCCAGTCCCCCCCGGGCAGACCGTGTGGACCGTGCTCGCGGCTTGTCTGCCCGCACGGCTCTGCGGCAGGAAAAGTCTTGCTCTGGGCGAGTAGCGATTAGGGAGGCGAACATGGAAATCTCAACAATGGCCTCCAACCTAGAAGCAAAAGGAAATCTCATGGTGAAGAAAAGCTGCTTGTGGAGTTGTGATCCAATGATGGGATGGCATCGCTCTTCTTGTCGACAGCCTTTTCGTATCATCATCCACTGTTGCGGTGTGGGTAGACTCCTCGTTGATGGCCGTGTTTGGAGCTAGTGGGGTTTCCATGTTTGGGCCAAACGAAAGAGTTGAGACCGTTCCAAAAGAGGCGTTGAAATATTTGGCGCCTGCACTGTGCGATGTGCGGCAGCGGGCAGGTGTGTTTTGGAAAGTATTGGCATCTTCTTTTTCGTAGAGTTGAGATGATTTGACCTCTTCAGCTCCATTTATCTAGTGGCAACCACCTGTTGACCAGTTGCCATCCTCTGCGTCCATCTCATCGCACCAAGCGGGGAGTCGCTCTGTAGTTAGGACCCGCGCACGAGGCATCTCGCATCGCGTGGCATCGCGGAAGTAAAGAGCTCCTCCAGACGTGTGTGTCTTCGATGTGTCCTTCGCCAAAAGGGTGGCGGTCCGGAGCTACCCACAGCTCCCCAGCTCCTTTTAGATGTGTTTGTTCTTGACATATTTCTTCAATGAGCATTTTTCTTTGGGCTCATTCACTGTGTGACTGAGCCTGCTTCCGCTGTTTCACCGACCAGTCCGTGTATCGAACTCCCTCGATGGGCAAGCTTTCCAAGTGATGGAAATCAGCTGATGGAAATCACAGCTGTCCGTCAGGAAAGCCTGGCCAAGATGCTTTATTCTTCCTAAGAAGAAAGGCAAAAGCACCTATGATCAGGAACTCCTAGACCACAGAGCATGTTCTCCCAGCTAGTGGAGGAGATTAATTGCTCAGCGAGAGTCATGATCGTCTTCATTGGCTCTCAGGTGCAATGGTCCATCATGGAAAGACGCTTGAGAAGTAAACACCAACGAAGTTAAAAGATTAACAGAAAACAAAAAGATCCTTCATAGTGATGGCCTCCAACCTAATAGCAATGGCCTCCAACCAGAAACGGGGTAAAAAGGTGCCTAGAGAGCAAACATCTGCAATTTATCCAGGCTGACAGCACAGGGATCTGAGAAAGATCGTTCCATTGGCTGTTCTATAGCTGCTGTTGCCGACCACACCCAACATTATGCTCTGATGACATATCGTTAGCCCACTGCCCCCAAGAAAGCTTTACACTGGAGACAAAGACACGCAACTAAACAGAGATACCGTCCCCCTTACGCCATCGACATGGGGTATTTGTGCGCGAGGTATCAGGATTCGGATTGCCACCGGAAAATTGGCTTCTTCTGTGTTTTGATGTCGACTGAGTCGATGCCACCGGTACTTTTAGGATGCATTTTCAACACAAAGTCTTTCACTCTACCGGTGTGGGTCACGTTAAGGGTCACGGTGTACCAACATCTCTGCGGCCGAATCGCCGGTGTGACCGGTTCCGACGTGGTGAGGACTGGAGTTGGGAGTGGGTTGGTTTGGCGGGTTGTCAGGAAATCGTGGAGAAAAACGCCGCAGGACCTACTCAGGAAAAGTGCATTAACCTGCCCAAGCTCCTTTTTTGGGGGGGATTGGTTTCCTCACTGAAATCCAACAAGTAGAAAGACTTTAACCGTTATGTTCCAAGGAAACTGAGGGGTTCAGATCGGAGACCGGCAGGACCGAGCGAGGACATTGAATCGCTTGAGTTCCTGAGAGGAACATTCGGTGTTCGGCAAAACGCTTCAAGTCTTCCTGATAGACTTGGGTTTTGATGGTTTTTGTCTGCAGTTTGGAACTTTGGCCCCTTCTGGCTGAGCCCCACCGCTTTCAAGGAGTTTGTCCCCACATACTACAAGCCTGATCGGGACCGGGGTCTTCCTCAATCCCTCTGGTTCAAGAAGGGACCCGTACCTCCAATTGGTTAAACCTGTTGTCAAGCCACCAGTCCAACTTAGGAAGACACCATGGAAGGGGGACAAACACCGAGAGCTTGGCTGAAATCTCACCCGAATCGAATCATTGGCTTTCGTTCCGTTCCTACCCCACTTTGTATCGACGTCTGCCGAGAGCTTGGCTGTCCTCTCTCCCCCATGTTTCGTGCGTACACCGCGGCGCAGCCCTGGGCGAGGATGGGACAGTGCCATGTGGTGCCGTGCTACAGCTTGATGGAGCCGCTTGGACCCGACATGCGGGAGAAATGGGCCGAAGCCGAACGCGAAAGGAAACGTGCCTCAACCCGTTAGGCGCAAGGGCTTCGGCTCCTTTCTGAGCCCTGGTCCGGGCTGTATGTTCCTGGAGCCCGTTGACCTTTGTGATGGGAAAAGATCATATTTTGGTTGGTTGGTGAGCCGACATATAGGTCACTCAGGTTCTAGGTTTGTGTAGCTTTCCACTCCGCTTGGACTCTGGTCGGCTCAGGGGAATGGAAGGATGCTGAAGGAAGGCACTGCACTGCCACCTGTGCTCAAGACAAGAGAAGATAAGAGAAAAACCTAGGGGTGTCACCGGTGGAGCGTCACCGGTGGTGTATCCGATGGTGTCTCCAAGATGCTAGAAGCATTAAATGAGTTGAAAGAAGTAACTTCAAATTGTGGATGTCTTTCGTTACTTAGTCCTTTTTCTTTGGAGCCGTCGGCCGTCGGCCAAAACAGAAACGAGAGCGTTTGTTTGTGTGGGACATGTCGGTTCGGAAGTTCTGAGAAACACCGGTTCACGTTTCTTCCGCGAATGGTGAGTCGCTTCGTCGGATCCATAGAGGTTGGGAGTCTGAGTTTCCGTAGCAAGTGGTTGACCTCTTTGATATGTGTCTGACCTTGTGATTTGACCAGGTTTGACCAGCTGTTTTCAGCTTGAGCCCAGCAGACCAGATGTCCCTGTGGACGGTCTCACCGGGTGCGCCGGTCTCACGACCGGAGAGGTCCTCCTACGACGTGAATTACCTGATCCGCGGCCACGCCGGGCGGCCCAGCGACAGCAACAGCGAAGGCAACGCCGGGCTTTCAATAAAAGAAGAAGAAGAAGAAGCGCCTTTGTGCGCATTTTGAGTTGGCATGTGTATTCTTGGTGTGAACAAGATGTGTGATGTGTTCGTCGAGATTCCTGCCTTGTTTGCAACACTTTCCTAAAAGACCTCCTGTGGATACCAAGTACCCTTTCTGGCCCTTTGTGCCACCACTATCCTTCAAAGACGTCATTTGGATCCCCTTCACCGGCTCTTTACCGTGCTTGGAACAATCCTTGACGGGTCCATCTCTACCATCTGGCCCAAGCAGCAGAGGCACTTGGTAAAACAAGTCGCTTTGGTCCAACTTGAGTGAACGCCCGGAAGCTGCGATGCATCGCATCGGTTCTGCATGAAGTGCCCTGGATGGCATCGCCACAGCCAGCCACTGGGACTTCCTGCTTCGAACGAGCAGAACGAGCAAGCTCGAAGCCTTTGAGACTCGGATGTGCTGATTCGATGTGGTTAGTTCTTTTCTCTTTCGTGATGTTTCTTTGGATCGAAGACGCAAAGGTGTCGGGACTCTCTTCAGCTGAGAGTCTCCAGAATTGATGGAATCGTGCTGAGGACAGCAGAGCTGTTTGGATCCGAGTCGGTGTCTCCCCCCGTGGCCAAACAGACTTGATCCTCCTCCCATCCTCGTTCCATGATCTTGGATCAGACAAAAAAACAAAAACTACCATCTGAGGCACTTGCAGGTCGAGGCACATCATCATTTTGTCTTCCGCCACCGGTTCCATCTGCCATCTTCGATGGCTCGCAAAAAAAACCAGGAGCTTTCCACTTCAGCGCCACTCTCCGTCCTCCGGTGGCGTTCTGGTGCTGGGCGGCCGAGCGTCGATGGAGAGCCGACGGAGGAGTCTGCGACGAGCAGAGAGGTTGGGCGGGGGAGCACCTCAAAAGGACGCAAAAGCAAACTTAATAGCAAAAGGAACCTAATAGCGATGGCCTCCAACCTACTAGCGATGGCCTCCACCCTAGGGAGCTTTGGGAAGTTCTTTCACATGTCCCTCATGGGGTGGGTTCTAGAGTGATCAAGACTCTTCCAAATTGGATTTGTTCGCAACATCTATGAGAATGCAAGGAGCTTTTTGATTAAGGAGTTCGTCCCTCAACACTGAGCATGTCTCTTGGCCACCTGGGACAGTACAGAGTATGGTTTTGGTTGCCGGTAGCAAGTCACAAAATAGAAACCACTCGGTCGGATGTTGAACATATCAAAAGCCGACCGGTGAGTGAAGAAAAAGAGCCAACGACTTCACAGTCCAGACCCATTCCCACCTGCAGGTCCCGAAAGGTAGAAGCGGAGGAGTTCGTGCAGAAGCTGTGCCAAGAGCTGACTGAAAGAAAGTTGCATTGACTTGAGTCGTTTTCTTTTTTCTTATTTTTGCGTGGCCCGGGCTAAAGTCCAGGGTGATATAAGTGGTTTTGGAGTTTGGAGCTGCCCAGTAGCAAAACCTTGCGTGGTGGAAGTGATGGAGATGGACAGAAGAAGCGCATGCACTCACCTTGGGAGGAATTCATACCAAGACAAGAGAGGTGTTGGTGCCACCTTCTAGCAGTACTCACTTGTAGGACATTGTAGGTTCAATGTTTTGAGAAGAGCCCCCTGTCGATTGGACCGATCTAAACGTGTTGCATGCATCAAACGTGTCAGCCCACGTGTTTCTAAGGAAATCTTCGGGCGGTTTTACTGCCAGAAGTGAGGCGTTCCAAGCAGCTTCTTCCGCGGGTCTTGGACATGTTGGGCGAACAAAGACGAGCGAATCTGATGTATGCAGCCATGGAAGCAATCAGATGTGATGGTACCATGCAGCTAAAGGAGTCCAGCTACATAGTCACCACTGCAACTTGTGTGCGAGCAAAAAGATGGCAGCAGGCATTGAAACTGTTCAAGGCCATTCCTGAAGCAAGAGTGACACCCACTCTCATCAGCTACAACCTGGCCATCAGTGCCTGTGAGAAGGGCGGGCAATGGCAGCAAGCATTAAAGTTGTTTGAGACCATTCCAAAGGCAAAAGTACGGCCCACTGTAATCACCTGCAACGTTGCCATCAGTGCTTGCGCGAAGGGCGGGCAATGGCAGCAGGCATTGAAGTTGTTTGAGGCCATGCTCAAGACTGAAGTGCAGCCAGACGACATCAGCTACAACACGGCCATAAGTGCTTGCGAGAAGGGCGGGCAATGGCAGCAGGCACTGAAGTTGTTTGAGGCAATGCCCAAGGCAAAAGTGCAGCCAGATGACATCAGCTACAACGCAGCCATCAGTGCTTGCGAGAAGGGCGGGCAATGGCAGCAGGCATTGAAGTTGTTTGAGTCCATGCCCAAGGCAAAAGTGCAGCCAGATGTCATCAGCTACAGTGCGGCAATCAGCGCCTGTGAGAAGGGCGGGCAATGGCAGCACGCTTGGAAGCTTTTTGGTGCCATGCCTCTCCAAGAAGTCCAGCCAAATGTGATCAGCTGCAACGCGGCCATAAGTGCTTGCGAGAAGGGTTGGCAATGGCAGCAAGCATTGAAGCTGTTTGAGGTCATGCCAAAGGTAACAGTGAAGCCAGATATCTTCAGCTACAGCGCGGCCATAAGTAGTTGTGAGAAAGCTGGGCAATGGCAGCAGGCATTGAAACTGTTTGAGGCCATTCCTAAAGCAAAAGCGAAGCCCACTGTTATCAGCTACAACGCGGCCATCAGTGCCTGTGAGAAGGGCGGGCAAT